GGAACAGTGACTGAACACGCACGTGGGGTGGTAGGAACAGTGACTGAACACGCACGTGGTGGAGTAGGAACAGTGACTGAACACGCACGTGGGGTGGTAGGAACAGTGACTGAACACGCACGTGGGGTGGTAGTAACAGTGACAGGGGTTGGATAGTGCTTGGTACTATAACACGCATATACAAGATAACCGAGTCGGTTTATTGTTAGTGTTAGGGTTAAGGTTATGGTTTTTGCATCATTCCTTGATATACGAAAAGTCTGATGCGGAAGTTGATATGCGTAGAATGGAATATGACCATGCGCAACCACCAGCACCATCAGCAGGTTGTATGCATTCAACTTCGGAGATAGCCGAGTTCGTACGTCACGCGGATACTCTGGTTCATAGAAACATATGCCGACCTCGATTCCCGCGCTGTCAAACTTTTATTGTGGTGGAATTTAATCGGGGCGGAGGTAATTTAAACGTGGCGCAACGATTGAAACGGGGGGAGAGTTTTCCCAAACGGGGCGGGCGCGCCCGGTTTGCGCAACGTAGGGAGGGGCCTGACATATCTGGTGTGTCTTACCTGGTAGTGGTCCATGCACTGGAGTCACGTTAACCCTCGTGAAAATCTTCTTCCTGTAGGACATGTCCTTAGTTGACGTCGTGTTGTTCTGTGGAGTGCCATTCTTTGGATGAGTGTTCACCTTCATGAACCTGTAAATGCATGTTGATGTGTCAGAACACGTGAATTGTGTATGCATGACACGTGTCGTCTACAGCACTCAGCCAGCATGCAGCACGATGTACGATCATGTACGATCTTACATACTTGTATACTGTCATAAAGTACCTTCTACTATAACACTGAACGAAATACTGTGCCGTTATATAGTTCCACGTATAATTGTGCATAGGCTGAAGGTCAATTAACTATGACAATTGCTGGAAAACAAATACCAAGTGTGCCTGCCATAACCTGATTGGTTCATTAAAGTACAGCAGGCTTAGCTTGGCGTGCCCAGTCACTCATCCATCCACATATCAATCCATTGACCCATTCAGCTACCTATTCAGCCATGCTTCCATCCATCCAACTACCCACATCTCTCTATCCACCCATCCCCGCATCCATCCGCCCGCCAGTGCCCGCCAGTGCCCGCCCGCCCGTCCGTCCGTCCGTTTGTTCCGTCCATCCATCCGCCCATCCATCCAACTATTAATCACCAGCGCCACCACGTACATGTTGATCATCGGCGACGTTGTCACCGGACTCTCGGGATGCTCCGGTATCGCCGACCTCATGCGGGCGTCCGAGATCGTCACCCCGCTCGCGATCGTGTGACTGCGAGGTCGGTACGCAGGCCGCGAACCGATCGGCGACAGCGAGAACTCCGCCGCGTTGCGGTCGAACTCAGCGCGTGGCGGTGTCATGGCCGCCGCCGCCGCCACCAAGTCCTGCATGCCGGCAACAAAACTCCGATATAATTACTCACATTATAGGTAGATGCTAACCATTTTAACAAGTTAGGGAGGTGGCATGCTGGCAGCAATACTCCGCCATGGTTACTCACATTATAGGTAGATGCTAACCATTTTAACAAGTTAGGGAGGTAGCATGCTGGCAGCAATACTCTGCCATGGTTACTCACATTATAGGTAGATGCTAACCATTTTAACAAGTTAGGGAGGCAGCATGCTGGCAGCAATACTCCGCCATGGTTACTCACATTATAGGTACATGCTAACCATTTTAACAAGTTAGAGAGGTGGCATGCTGGCAGCAATACTCTGCCATGGTTACTCACATTATAGGTAGATGCTAACCATTTTAACAAGTTAGCGCCTTTAAATTTTTTAAAGTAGGTCTCTTAATTTCCATGCAGATGAAGACTTAAAAAGAAACACAGCTAAAATATATTGCCCTTCTATGACAGCGATGCGCTTAAATGATGACCAGATCAGGCACAGGGACTATAGAATCTTATGCTCGTTTAGAGTGGACCTCTGCTACAATTGACTACAGCACCACTATTAAATCTTGCGCATAGACTTGCTAAGTTGTATACATTTTAGCTCTTTGGCCTGTAATCTATCAGCTTTTTGCACACATCTTGTTGCCCATGTAGTTTTGTTTCCTTGGATATACAATACTGTATCATACAGTATGGTAAGCACTGAAACCCTTTACACTGCTAGCAGACCAGCATGGGTATTAGATTAGCAAAAATTGCCAGTCTTGTAAGAGAATTTCAACACAATTTGAATGCAAGCTATAAGATTATAACATACTTAAAAGATAGAAACCTAAGAACCTATTAACAGCGCTTTTGCGACCTAATTTCTTCTAGTAAGGCCACCATTATATAAAAAACCTATTGCAGGCCTAACTTGAAAAATCTAGCGCTTCTTATACGCGGTTCTTTACTATTAGTATGAATGTATATGTGCAGCGGCTCATTAAACCTACACCGGCAACGAACTACATACTAACGAGCACGCTAACTGCAAGCCGCAGGTATAAATAACATTACAATAATACGTATAACAACACTCACACGCACGCACGCACGCCACGCACGCAGCACGCATGCCGCCGCGTATATTAACCCTACCTTAGTAGCCTGCTTACAGCTGTCCTTTTTTTTCTAAAAAGCCCGTGTACGGTGCCATGCAGCAAGCTGCAGCTGCTCCAGCCAGCCCCCAGTTTGGAGCTCTTTCAGCGTTGCGATACGGCGCCCTCACGCTGAGCGACCGTAAGGCGGAGTTGTCGCCCCGTCTGCGCGCAGCAGCCCGACGACCAGTCCTCGTGCCAGCACGTGGTACTCGACCTCGTTACGCGTGAAGACGTGCCTTGCTGATGTCCATCTGGAACACTGAGGCGAAGAGAAGGAGACCAGGACTGCAGTCATCACTGACGATGAGGGGGTCGGGGGTTGGAGACTGCACCGCACGCATTCACCACTCAGCTCGTGGGTGGTTGTTTTTCTCTACTTTCTACGATCTTCGTGGAGCTGGTGTGGGCGTGCAGTTTGTAGCCAGCGTAAGGGGCGATTGGTGAGGGCACGACGCCAGGACAGCCTGGCTTGCTAACTGTCCATCATCGCCAAACACCTGCGGTAAGAGGAGGAGCAGAAGGAGATGCCACGATGACTCTCACTGACCGACAGAGGGGCTGTGCGGGGTCTGTGTGCGACGCTGAGCCATTGTCGTCGGCAACGTTGGTAACGACTGACGCTGACACGCCAGAATAGCTGGTCCTGTCAGCCGTACTAGAGCTAACTTACTACTACTTTACTAGAGGCTAACAAAGCGCTTTAGCCATCTGTCAGTCGTAGATGATAACTTACCTAATGAGTTTACCCAGAGGTAAAAGCAGGCGTCACCAAATATATGTTAGTGCACGGCTTCGTCTAAAGCTTTAGCGGGGGACGTTAGCGATTCTCATCCGTTATGCGCAGCACACCTTCGACACAACCGACGCCAAGTAACCATCTTAGGTCAATTGCAGATACGACTGGGCAATGCGACAGCCAAAGCACCAGCATCCAGTTATACATAAATATTCATCAGGCAGCTGTTGTCAATCATCATAGATAATAGCATAATGAATAATCTATATTATGACACTTTTTGATACTTAGTGACCACGTATTCATGTTCTATCCGCGGAGAAGCAATGATTCGACGTCCAGGCCTGTAGAAACCGTTAAGCCAGCAGCTGCTATTAGCGAAACCTTTAGTCATGGTGCTTACCGCTATACTGGCGCGGGTTATGGACACCATTCAGTAACGCTATAGAAGTGCACTAGATAACATACGGCCTGGAGTTATACACCATAGTATTAAAATCTTCGCTGTCAAATAAAGCAATGAATGATCACGGACTTCAAGTGCTATTAGCGAAACTTGTCAGGGTTACCATCTATACTGGGCCGGGGTTATGACACCATTCCAGTAATGTATAGAGTGCAGTAGACGAGCGTAGGCGTTTCTAGATGGTAGTTATGTATAGTAGATGTATAGGCAAAACATTAGCTCAGACGTAGTATAACATTACTACAATCGCCCGCCATCGTAAGGTGGCCTGTTGCAGTGAAAGTGCGACGAAGGCGCTTGGTGCCGTGTACCTATGTAGTGATGCGCATAGGAGGGGGAGGGTTGGTCATATATTGAGCGTAGAGAGGGGAGGGAGGGGCGGTGTGCCGTTGAGCCATAGCTGAGGGGAGGGAGGCGTTGGTGGTGCCTGCGTCAGCGTCGGAGGCGGAGGAAGGGTGGTGCGTGGCGTGAGCTTAGGAGGGGAGGAGGGTTGGTGATGGCGTGAGCGTAGAGGACACGAGCGGTTGTGGTGCCTGACTGTGCAGCGTTAGGCAAGGGCAGGAGGGTTGTCGGTGGCGTGTGAGCACTGTAGCGAGTGGAGGAGGGTTGGTGGGGGCGTGAGCGAGGAGGGGAGACGCGGTTGGCTTGGTGGCGTGAGCATAGACAGGAGGGAGGCGTGTGATGGCGTGAGCCGTAGGACGGGAGGAGCTGTTTGGTGGTGGCGTCGCAGCGTAGGAGGGGAGGAGGGTTGGGTGATGTGCGTGAGGTGGAGCGAGGAGAGTTTTGGGCGTGGCTGCCGTGCCGCCACGTAGGGCGAGGGAGGAGCGGTTGGTGGCTGAGGCGTGAGCGTAGGAGGGAGGAGCGCGTTGTGATTGGCTCCCGTGGTCTGGAGCGTAAGAGGGGGAGTGAGGGTTTCGGCGTGGTGTGATGAGCTAAGAGGGGAGGAGGCGTTGGTCGGTGGCTACTGTGAGCCGAGGAGCGGAAGGAGGGTTGGTTGGTGTTGTGACGCGTTAAGCAGGCGAGGAGGCGTTGCGTCTGGTGGCGTGAGGTAGGAGGGGAGGCAGGGTTGGTGCGCGTGCCGTGAGCATTAGGAGCGGGAGGACCGACGCGTTGGTGGGATGTATGTGAGCGTAGGAGGCGGAGAGTGTCGTTAGTGTGGTGGTGGCTGTGAGCGTAGGAGGGAAGGAGGTTTCGTCGACCGGTGCGTGCTGAGCGTAGGAGGGGAGGAGGCCGTTGGGTGGTGCGTGAGCGTAGGAGGGGAGGAGGACGTTTGGTGGGTGCGCTTGGAGCATAGGCGGAACGGCGCGAGGAGGGTTGGTGGTGTAGTGAGCGTAGTGAGGTCAACCCCTAGAGGGGAGGAGGGTCCGTTGTGTGGTGGCATGAGCGTAGGAGGCGGGTAGGAGGGTGGTGTGGCGTGGAGCGTAGCAGGGGAGGAGGGTTGCGTGGTGGCGTGAGTATAGCGAGGGGAGGAAGGTGTCGCAGGTCCGGGTGGCTGTGAGCCGTAGGAGGGAGAGGGTTGGTGGTGGCGTGAGCGTAGCGAGCGCGGAGGGAGGGTGAGTACGTGGCCCCGTGAGCGTAGGAGGGGAGGAGCGTTGGTGGTCTGGCGTGAGCCGTAGGAGGGTCGAGAAGTCGTGTCTCGTGGTGGCGTGGAGCGTAGAGAGGGGCAGGAGGGGAGGAGGGAGGAGGCGTTGCGTTGTGGCTGTGAGCGGAGGAGGGGAGGAGCGACGTCGGTGGTGGCTAGAGTGAGCGTACGGAGGGAGGAGGTTGTGTGGTGGCGTGAGCGTAGGGAGGAGAGGAGGGTCGTGGTGGCGGTGACGTAGCTAGGGAGGAGGCCGTTGGGGTCTGTTAGTGCAGCGTAGGAGGGCAGGAGGTCGTTTGGTGGTGGCGTGGCGTAGGAGGCGAGAGGATGGCTTTGGTGGTGGCGTGACGTCGTAAGAGGGGAGGAGGGTTGCTTGTGCCGTGAGCGTAGGAGGGGAGAGGGTTGTGGTGGCGTGCGAGCGCTAAGAAGGGGTTGGAGGGTTGCGCTGGCTGCGCTCGTTGAAGCGTAGGCAGGGGAGGAGGGTTTTGGTTTTGGGTGCGTGAGCGTAGGACGGGCAGGACGCCGGTTGGTGGTCGTGAGTTTGGGCGGGAGGTGAGAGATTGGTGGTGGGGTAGCGTACGAGCGTAGCGAGCGGTTGCTGGTGCCACGAGCGTGCGAGGGGAGGAGCGCTGTTGGTGCGCTCCATGAGTTTTGGGGCGGAGGGAGAAGGCGTTGGTGCGTGCCGCTGAGTTTGGGGGAGGGAGGATGGGTTGGTCCGGTGGCTTTGTGAGCGTCAGGAGCGGTTGCTTGGTGCCCACGAGCGTGCGAGGCCTGGGTAGGAAGGCGTTGGTTCGGTGCCGTGAGTTTGGGGGGAGGAGAAGCGTGTTGGTGAGTGCTAGTGGAGTTTTGGGGGGAGGGATGCCAGGGTTCGGTGGTGGCCGTGAGTTTAGGGTGGGAGGGCAGGAGGGTTTTGGTGGTGCCGTGCAGTTTGGGGGAGGGGAAGGAGGGTTGGCGCCCGCCCCCCGCGCCCCCGCCCTGGTGCGTGAGTTTGGGTGGTGAGCGCGGAGTCAGGAGTTGGTGGTGGTGTGAGCGTAGCGAGGGCGAGGAGGGTTGCTGTGTGCCGTCGCAGTTTGGC